AGAGATGAGGTCTCACTGCCCAGGCGGGTCTCGAACTCGTGGGCTCAGGCAATCCACTCAACCTCAGCCTCCCAAAGGCACGGGATTACAGGCTGAGCCACCGAGCCCGGCTGTAATTCCAACTTCTTTCTGCTTCTTGGGTGCACTTAAAGCATCACTAGTAACACTTTGTATGGGTCTCATGGCATTGTTCAAGGCTTATGATATTGTGCTAAATATAAAAAACATGCAAGAACCATGAGAAATCACTTTCTACTATGATATGAATATAGTGAAGAGATGAACTGATCACTGGAAATGATGAGCATCACATGGCGTCTAAAGTGGACACTTGCAACTCTTGAGCTCACTTTAACTGCAACAGGAGGTATCTGCAAAATTACTACAGTAGGACAGTATCTTTGTTCAGACTTCTCTCAACTATAAATGGCACCATACATGATCTGTAAGTGTGTAAGTATGACTTTATAAATTTTAACTTTTTATTAGATGTGTGTATATCTTATGGTAATAAATGATAAAGTAGACTAGTAGCTACATATATTTTGTACATTCATGACACATCTAACCTTTTTTTTTTGAGTTGGAGTCTCACTCTGTCGCCCAGACTGGAGTGCAGCACCCGCTCCCAGTCACTGCAGCCTCAACCTGCTGGGATCCGGCGATCCTTCTGCCTCAGCCTTCCAAGTAGCTGGAATTACAGGCACACGCTACCATGCCCGGCTGATTTTTTGATTTATTGTAGAGATGAGGTCTCGCCAAGTTGCCCATGTGGGTCTCGAACCCGCGGGCTCAGACAATTCACTCACCTCAGTCTCCCAAAGCACGGGATTGCAGGCTGAGCCACCGAGCCCGGCTACATCTAACCTTTTTAAAGTTTTCTCCATACTTCTAGGATATGTGGTTTGTCTTTAAGTTTTGTTCAAATTGTTGCAAATCTCCAAAAAATTTCCAATATATTTAATGAGAAAAAATTCACATGTAAATAGACTGATACAGTTCACACCTGTGTTGTTCAAAGGGCCAACTGTATCTCTAAAAAGAGAATTAGCCAAGTGTTGTGGTACACACCTGTAGTACTAGCTTCTTGGGAGGATAAGGTGGGAGGATCGCTTGAGCCCAGGAGTTCAAGGATGCAGTGAGCTATGACTGCGCCACTGTACTCAGGCCTGGGCGCCAGAATGAGACCCTGTCCCTAAAACTAAATAAATAAAAAGAGAATGAGGTAATATAAAAGGAATAAACTCATAAAAACCAAGAGAATGAGAAGACATAGCAGACAAGAGATGCCCCAAATCCTGGGACAATAGAGAGTGAGTGACAGAGGATGAAATCTAACAGCCTGCTCTGAAGAGTAAGTCATTTCACCCATCAGAGGCCCAGAAAGGACATCTGCCTGTGAGGGGTGGGGTGAGGCCCAGTGCAGACCACAGGGAGACTGAAAGTGGGAATATGGAGCAGTACAATCCCTGAACTCTCTCCCCCACATGGGACCACTCTCCCTCCTCACAGTCACCGCAGGGGTGAGGAACGGGAGGGAAGCAGTAGATGCCCAGCGTCTTCAAAGACAGGCTCTGAGTTACTCTGCTATCCAGATAGTGGGACTTTCTGCTAAAACTCATGTGGGATTGCCTACTAACTGCTGTAACTTGCTGGCAAATAGCAAAAACTGGAGGCTTCACTATTTACACGTTAAACATTATTACAGTAGTCATTACTGAATATAACTGTCTGCAGGTTATTTTCCCACACTCTTCTGAGTTATCCCCTTTATTAACACAAAACTCTGAAATCCAGTTTTTCCAGAAATTAAACCTGTGCCTAGGTAGGGGTGAGGT